CGAAGGGGATGGCGCGCTTCAGGCCACGGTCCCTGCTGCGGCCCAGCCCGTGCCAGGCGCTGGAGGAACAATGATGAATGCGGAGCCCGTCGGCTCCCAGCGCAGCTCTGCCCACGGGACCCTGCGCCGACGCCCCCTCCCCCAATCCAGGCTGGGATGGGTTCGCTCTCTGCCACCCAGGAAAGCCAGGCGGGAAGCAGGTACGGCACCCAGAGGCCATGAAATGCGCACGAAGCATAGGGGCCAGCCGGGTGGCGCTAAAAGCTAAGGACGACGCCCCCGCCCACCATGGCAGCCATTACCTGTCTGTGGGTTGCTCCTGCGGCCACCAGAAGCGGAGGCCCCAAGCCGCCTCCACCACCGCCTCCACCTCCTGAGCCAACTGGACTACGGTTCATGCTAGGGCGCTTCGCTGCAAGTGGCGACATCGTTCGGGTTCTCTAAACAAATATGGGAAGACTTTTTGTAAACCAAGCTTCTTAGTACAAGAAACATCTCAAAGTGGGGTTCTTAACTTGGACCTCCTGGGATCCCTGGGTAGGCTGGCAGTCTGTGAGGCTTCCCCAGTAGTTGTGGAGGTTTACCTGTTTGTGCCTTTTTCCAGAGTAGGTCCATAATTTTCATGGGATTCCCAAAGGAGGCTGTGACCCCAGAATGGTTAAAACATCAGCGAATTTCGCCCCACCCCACGCTTTTTTTTTTTTTTTTTTTTTTGAGACTGAGTCTCACTCAGTAGCCCAGGCTGGAATGCAGTGGCGTGATCTTGGTTCACTGTAGCCTCTTCTTCCCAGGTTCAAGTGATTCTCCTGCCTCGGCCTCCCTAGTAGCTGGGATTCAAGGGCCCGCACAACGCCAGGCTAATTTTTGTATTTTTAGTAGGAACCGGGTTTCACCATGTTGGTTAGGCTGGTCTTCAACTCCTGGCCTCAGGTGATCCTCCCGCCTCAGCCTCCCAAAGTGCTAGGATTACAGGCATGAGCCACTGTGCCCAGCCATCAGTAATTTTTTTTCTGAAGAATCTATCCGGCCGGCGGGCGCGGTGGCTCATGCCTGTAATCCCAGCACTTTGGGAGGCCGAGGAGGGCAGATCACAAGGTCTGGAGATCAAGACCATACTGGCTAACACGGTGAAACCCTGTCTGAAGTTTATGGTTACTACAAATAATCAGAAATACAAATGGAAAGACTGAATATTGGGTTTCTGTCCAGACCTTTCCAGCTTAGACCTCTCTGCAGACTCCCCTTAGTTCATCATCATGTCTTACTCTCCCCTTACCCACCTATCCTTTCCTGATCTTTGCTTGTGACAAGATGACCTGTGTAAGGACTGCCTCCTACGTGAAGTGGTCCCCAGAAGGAAGCGGATTGGAAGGTCCTAGAAATAGGAGGTGTAGACATGCACTGAACAGGAGCCCCTGGCATCTTTGCTGGTGACTTTGAGACCTTCCTCAGGCACTTGTCTTTGAATGGTGGTCTTATCTGCAATTTTGGTATGAGCTCTGGAGTTCAGAGAACCGCCCATCTTGGTCTATCCCGTATGTATGACGGTGACCCTCAAACTTCAGTGTGCTGAGTCACCCCAAGGAAAAGTGATTGCCTCTGGAGTACAGTGGGGGACAGAACTGGACAACTGGGAAATGAGGTGGAATGCTTGCTTTTCACTTACACTTTGAACCTTTTGTATGTTTTACTGTGTATGTTTCACTGTGTGTATGTTTCACCTATTCAAAATAATGATAATAATTGTTAAAATCACCCTAGAGAGGTTTATTAGAAATTCGCTTTTCCAGGGCTGGGCACGGTGGCTCATGCCTGTAATCCCAGCACTTTGGGAGGCCGAGGTGGCAGATCATGAGGTCAGGAGTTCGAGACCAGTCTGGCCAACATAATGAAACCCTGTCTCTACTAAAAATACAGAAAATTAGCTGGGTGTGGTGGTGTGTGCCTTAATCCCAACTACTTGGGAGGCTGAGGCAGGAGAATCACATGAACCCAGGAGGCAGAGGTTGCAGTGAGCAGAGATCACAACATTGCACTCCAGCCTGGGCAACAGTGCGAAACTCCATCTTAGTAAAAAACAAAAGAAAAAGAAATTCGCTTTTCCATCCCCAGTAAATCAGAGGTGGAATCCAGGAACATGCTTTCTCTTTTTCTTTCTTTCTTTTTCTTTTCTTGAGACAGTGTCTGCCTCTGTCACCTAGTCTGGAGTGCAGTGGTGCAATCATGGCTCACTGCAGCCTTGACATTCAGGGGTCAAGTGGTCCTCCCACCTCAGCCTCCAGACTAGGTGGGACTACAGGCATGTGCCACCACACCCGGCTAATTAAAAAAAAAAATTTTGTAGAGATAGAGTCTCCCTATGTTGCCCAGACTGGTCTCGAACTCCTGGGCTCAGGGAATCCTCCTGTCTTGGCCTCCCAAGGTGTTGGGATTACAGGCATGAGCCACCTCCTCCAGCCAGGAACATGCATTTTATTATTTATTTATTCATTTATTTTGAGATGGAGTCTTGCTCTGTTGTCCAGGCTGGTGAGCAGTGGCGCGATCTCGGCTCACTACAACCTCTGCCTCCTGGGTTCAAGTGATTCTCGTGCCTCAGCCTCCCAAGTAGCTGGGATTACAGGCATGCACCCTCAGGCCCAGATAATTTTTGTATTTTTAGTAGAAATGGGGTTTTGCCATGTTGGCCAGGCTAGTCTCGAACTCCTGACCTCAGGTGATCCACCTGCCTCGGCCTCCCAAAGTGTTAGGATTACAGGTATGAGGTACCACGCCTGGCTGGGAACATGCATTTTAATGATTTCCCAGAGGTTTTGCATGTGGGTGGATCATGGAGCACATTTTGGTGGACAGTGATGTAGAGGGAACATCTAGGGCTTTGGGAGTCAGACCCACTAAAGAAATCCCAGTTCGGCCACTCCCTTGCTGTGGGTCCTTCAGTGACCCCGCTGAGCTTCCACTTGCTCATCTGTAAAATGAGGATAATAACAACTACCTCTCAGGTTGTAATGAAATCATGTGTATAAAGCATATTTGACATAGTAAGTTCTCAGTAAATATTCTCTAGTTATGTACTAGAGGGTTCTCTATGAAATATTTGGTGAAATGAACTAAACAGAGGCCAGAGCAGAAGATCAGTACAAGGTTGACAAGCTTGGGAAATAACCACAATGGGCAAAGCTCAGTGCCTGCTATGTATGCATCAGGTGCGTCTGCAACCCTTAAGGAAGGAAGCTGTCTAGTAAACAAATACTTAAGGATATGTTTTGACTGCTGCAATAAATTGCTAAGCTTTCAAAGATGACAGGGCCTGCCATCTTCTTTAGTTCTGCCAGAGCAAGTGAAGAAGGAGTCACAGAAGGGACAACATTTGCACTGAGTCCAAGGGATAAGGAATGAAAGGGCATTCAAGGTGAAGAAACCAGCGTACTGTAAGTCCTATGTTGGGAAAGAACAGCTTGTCTGGGAAGTGATAAATAGCTCATCATATTTGGAAGAGTAAGACGGGAGATGAGTGGGCACCACACTGCGAGGAATGCTCTTTAGCCTGCAGAAAGAAGGACTCCTGGGGACAAAGGAGATTTTTAAAATTTTATTTATATATGCATTTATTTGTGTATTTGCTCTGTCACCCAGATTGGAGTGCAGTGGCCCGATCTCGGCTCACTGCAACCTCTGCCTCCCGGGTTCGAGCAATTCTCCTGCCTCAGCCTCCCGAGTAGCTGGGATTACAGGTGTACACCACTGCACCTGGCTAATTTTTTGTATTTTTAGTAGAGATGGGGTTTCACCATGTTGGCCAGGCTGGTCTTGAACTCCTGACCTCAGGTAATCCACTCACCTTGGCCTCCTAAAGTGCTAGGATTATAGGCTTGAGCCACTGCGCCCAGCCCAAAGGAGATTTTTTTTTACCAACTACAAGTCCGGGGCAGGAAATACGCAAGATGAGCCTGCCTGGGACATTTTGTCATGCCAGAAAGTGAAAAGGCTATTCAACACCACTGTTGTGTCAAAAGCACTCAGGGGCCAACTTAAAGGGGCTCGCAGTGGCCAAGGTGGAAGAATACGAGCAAAAAGAATAATGATTGCAATGGGCTGAAACATCAACTATATTAAAATCCATAAATTAAATGCATAAATTCCTAAAGTTACACACACACACACACACACACACACAAACCCCACTAAAACAAAAACCCACCTATTGGTCATATGTGGAGGTTACCACAGTACCAATTGATTATTCTGAAAATTGATAAAGGGAAAGAATTAAGTCTGTATCCTATCCTTGTTTTACAAACTATCTCATAGTAACAAAGAGTTCATGAAGGAAAAATGTGTATAGAAGAATTAGCTAGACCAGGTGCAGTGACTCACGCCTGTAATCTCAACACTGGGAGGCCAAGGCAGCTGGATCCCTTGAGCCTAGGAGTTTGAAACCAGCCTGGGCAACATAGTGACAACCCATCTCTACAAAGGAAAAAATAAATAAATAATTAGCTAATAAATGCAGAAGGAGGCCAGGTGCAGTGGCTCATGCCTATAATCCCACCACTTTGGGAGACCAAGGCAGGTGAATTGCTTGAGTCCAGGAGTTTGAGACCAGCCTGAGCAACATAGTGAAACCCCATCTCTACAAAAAATACAAAAATTAGCTGGGTGTGGTGGTGTCTGCCTGTGGTCCCAGCTACTCAGGAGGCTAAAGTGAGAGGATCACATGAGCCTGGAAGGTGGAGGTTGCAGTGAGCTAAGATCATGCCATTGCACTCCAGCCTGGGTGGCAGATCAAGGCCCTGTCTCAAAAAATAATAATAATAATAATAATAATAATAATAATAATAAATAAAAATAATAAATGCAGAAGGAATTAAAGAACTAGAAAAAAAAATGATATTTGCCAACTCCTGATGAAATACTGTAATGGACCAAATAATCACCGATAGTTACTAAGTAATGGGGTTGATGGGGAACTTCATAAAGGATCAGGCTGACATCAGCTGATTCTACCTGTTGATCTTAGCATCACCAAAAGTACAACAGGATATTATGTGCCTCCCCATTTGACCAAGTAGGAAAAACAGCACCACCTATGATTACTTTTATGCCACCTCCCTCCTTTCAAAAAAACTAAATCTGTTTAGTTTTTAGTTTGAACAGTACTTTTAAAATGCAGGAGACAGAGGGACATGCTAAATGACCCAAGGAGTCAATCAGTCAAATCCGAAAATAGAAAAATCTACATCCTAACGACAAGCTTTATTCAATAAATGCATGGCCTAGGAAAAGGAAGTGAGTTGGAGAATGTTATCACCAGATACAGTGTGTGAACTTTATTTTAATCCTAATTCAAACAAACCATTAAAAAAAATACTGCTGGGCATGGTGGCCCATACCTGTAATCCTGGCACTTCAGGAGGCTGAAGCAGGTGGATCACCTGAGGTCAGGAGTTCGAGACCAGCCTGGTCAACATGGCGAAACCTTGTCTCCACTAAAAATACAAAAATTAGCCTAGCGTGGTGGCACATGCCTGTAATCCCAGCTACTTGGGAGGCTGAGGCAAGAGAATCACTTGAACCCAGGAGGTGGAGGTTGCAGTGAGCCAAGATCGCACCACTGCACTCCAGCCTGGGCAATAAGAGTGAAACTTCACCTAAAAAAAAAAGGCTGGGCATGTTGGCTCACACCTGTAATCCCAACACTTTGGGAGGCCAAGGCGGGTGAATCACCTGAGGTTGGGAGTTCAAGACCAGCCTGACCAACATGGAGAAATCCCATCTCTACTAAAAATACAAAAAATTAGCTGGGCATAGTGGTGCATGCCTGTAATCCCAGCTACTTGGGAGGCCGAGGCAAGAGAATCGCTTCAACCGGGGAGGCAGAGGTTGCGATCAGCCGA